TAATTTAGGGCTCTTCGTGTAAATTCTATAACTTTGCAAAGAAAGGTCATGTAGAGTTGGGAGAGGTCTCATTTTAATCAGAAATGTGCGGGCTACAATCATGCCTCATTAAGAACGGTTCGGGTTAGTTTTTGGGGTTTCTGGAAAACTCGTTTTCTAGAAAACCAGGTCTTCGAAGGGCTATGCGGAAGCCGCATGGTCGATAATCTATAACCCACTAGATTCCGAGCAAAAAGCGTTTAATCACTTCGTGGGGTTCCCTCGTTAGAATATTTATTTTTTTTTTAGTTTTACTCCAGTTTTTTAAAGCATAAAAATTTACTTCGAAATTGACTTCCCTCCCTTTGCCTCCGAGGTATCGGGACGCCCCAGGTTATAAAATAAGTACAATGATAGAAAATAAAAGGAACGAAACAAGTGATATTATCTGACTGATATCTGTGTGTCAGTTTGTGGGTGATTTTATTACTACCAGTAAGCGCTTCTAATAGACTACGTCCTCTACTTTTTTCACTTTTACAGATTTAACTGATCCACTCCCTTGTTTTTTAAAACTCCAATACCAGAAGCTTTTCTCCTGTTGACGTAGTTTCCTACATCTATTTTCATTGCTCTCATTTTATTTTCTCTTCTTCCTTCTCGAAGTCCAATATTTTTCTTTTCTTTTTGTTCATTTTTATTTCGTATGATGTTCTTTTTTATTCTGTTAAAAGATTTCTCTCAGGAAATACAACGTAGTCCTTAGGACAACGATTTCACTTGTTTGGTCTTCCTTTCTTGTTTCTTTTGATTTCTTTAAATAAAAAGCTTAAACTAAAAAAAATAAACTAAACGAAACAAGTATGGGACGAAACGAGAGGATACCCTTCTCTCATTGGTTCATCTATTCTCAGCACTTTCTCCATTCCTATTTATCTCTCTCTCTTTCATAGTGTTCAATCTGCCATTCACTCTCTCATTGTTCGTTGTACTATATATACATATTGCACAACACATATAATCATATAATCATATAATAAATCTTCTCTAATTTAGTCCTTAATTTTTATACGACTAAATATAGTTCAATAACAATGGATGAGTCTAAAAAAATCGATGATTATCTGTGTCAACCGTTATCCGAATGTGATCCGGAAATGTTTGAATTAATTAAAAAGGAAAAACAAAGACAACTACGGGGATTAGAAATGATTGCATCAGAAAATTTTACATCACGTGCCGTCCTGGAAACATTGGGCTCATGTTTAACAAATAAATATTCCGAAGGATACCCTGGTGTAAGATACTACGGAGGAAATGAATTTATTGATCAAATTGAACTATTAACACAGAAACGTGCACTCGAAGCATTTGATTTAAATTCTGAACAATGGGGAGTCAACGTACAATCACTGAGTGGATGTCCGGCAAATTTTGCAGTGTATACTGCACTAATTGAACCACATGGTCGATTAATGGGACTAGATTTGCCAGATGGTGGTCATCTAAGTCATGGTTATCAAACAACAACAAAGAAAATCTCGAGTACATCAGCCTTTTTTGAAACAATGCCGTATAAAGTAGATCCAACAACCGGTCTAATTGATTATGAACAGCTAGCACAAACAGCCAAATTATTTCGACCTAAACTAATTGTTGCTGGTATTTCATGCTATTCACGCAATCTCGATTATGAAAAATTTCGCAATATATGTAATGAAGTTGGAGCGATTTTAATGGCTGATATTGCACATGTTAGTGGTTTAGGTACGGACCAGCTCTTCTTTCTCGACTATGCATATCTCTCTGTCACTCTAGAATACTGTATCTTTTCCTTTTGTCTCACACAACTCGTCGGTGCGTTCCACAACTCATGGAGCATTTGTCTTGGTACTTCTCGTCTTGGGACAACTCGCCTGTTTCCTTGGCGATGGATAATTCGTCTTTTACAAAATTCGCTGAGAAAAGTCCGCAAAAGAAAAAATACACCAAAAAAGATGTTTTTTTTTCTCACTACGGATCCCCTAGGCCATCACTGACTTATTGCCTGGATGAAAAGCTTTTTTCTGTGCTTTTCTCCGAGTGATTCTTGAAAATCTTCAGTTGTTCGTTGGCAAGGGATGATACAATCGTCCCCAGAGAAGTGTTCCGTGAAACAAATACATCAGGACGAATTGTGCGAGATAAAAAGAACGAAGGTTAATTATCTGATCATCTACTCTATTTCTTTGTTTCAGTTGCTGCCAAAGTTGTTAATGATCCATTTCCATATTGTGATATTGTTACAACCACCACGCATAAAAGCCTTCGTGGTCCTCGAGCAGCAATGATATTTTATCGAAAAGGGCCTAAACAGAATGAAAAAGGTGAAAATATCATGTACGATTATGAAAAAAAAATTAATGAAGCAATATTTCCTGGTTTACAAGGTAATTGTTAATAAATGTAACTATCTAGCTTCTATTCATTCTTTCTGTTATTTTAGGTGGCCCGCACAACAATGCCATTGCTGGTATAAAGAGAAAGTGTGATCTATATGATTTCTCTCGACTATTTTCTTTGTTATTTTAAGCAATTGGTGTTGCATTGAAACAAGTGAAAACAGATGAATTTAAATTATATGCTCAACAAGTTATAAAAAATGCCAAACAACTTGTGAAAACGTTGACTGAAAAAGGATATACATTTGTTACTGGTATGTTTCCGATTTTACTTCTTTTTTTCAGAGTTATAGACTTATTAAATAAAATATTATTTTTATCTTTTATGTATTTAGGTGGTACAGATACACATTTAGCATTGCTCGATTTACGTCCAATTGGTTTAGATGGTGCTAAAGTTGAAAAAGTTCTTGAAAATGTTGCCATTGCTGTAAACAAAAATACTTGTCCAGGGGATAAAAGTGCATTGAAACCAAGTGGTATACGTCTAGGAACACCAGCATTAACATCACGAGGTTTCAGAGAAAATGATATTATTCAGGTAGCAGATTACATTGATAAAGCCATACAAATCACGTTAGAAATAAATAAATTAAAACCACAGCAAACAATAAAAGATTTCAAACAAAATATGAATTTGCAGCAGTATGCATCGATGATTGCAACATTGAAAAATGCTGTTGAAGAATTTGCCTCACATTATCCAATGCCTGGTTATGAGCAAACTTAAAAGTTATCATTTTCTATTTTCTATAAACATTTTTGTGGATGAATAAGCACGTCCTTTTTTTTAAGTGATAAATTCAGAGGGTTTGCAATAATTCAACGTCTTTCATCTAAACTCAGATGTTATTTTTTTTATTTGATAACCAATACATCTATTTTGTAGCTTTCTTCAGGTAAAAAATTTTTGTTTGATATAGGTGTGCTCTATTATGATTCTCCTTCTTTTCTGTTCTGAAACAAAAATTATTTTATTAAAAATATATTGCTATTTGGTTATAGTTCTGATAAATATAAAGACACACTTTTACTTCTATAGTACAGAATATTGAAAAAATCTCAGTTATTCATGTGTTGTGCGAATTAATAAATAAGGTTATTGAGTTGCTAGTATTTTGATACTATTTTTGTTGTGTACGACCGTAATACATCAAATGACTGAATTAAGGCGAACACTTTTGAAAAAATGAATAACTAACTAACCGAAGAACTTTAACATTAAAACAAATATATCGAATACAAGTTTAGTCTCGAGACAAATACCTTACGGACAAAATGTAAGCTGTTTTAGTAACTTACTATATTCTTGAATAAACTTTAGTAGAATAAGAACTTTGCCAAAAAGTATAGTAATATATCCTATTTGAGCAAAATTAGTGGTTCATTGTACTTTTTTCCTTGTTGTGTTGTGTATCATATTTCTTCAGAGAATATCGTCTACGAGTCGACACAGTTTAGCTAGTAAAAACTTACTACATTTTATCTATTCATGTTTGTCAAAGGAACTATATTTACTTTTACATGTTTAGAAAAATTTAAGCAAAAAAGAATCTAATCATTCGTATTAATATTGAATTTTCAAGGATTAGTCTGTGTGTTGCTTAAACTATCGAGAGAATAATGCGAGCTACAAAGATAGCTCAAAAAAAGTGTCATGAGATATTAAATAACTTGTTGGAGAAGAATACTGCGCTTTTACTTTATCTTAATAGGTATATTTCATGTAGAAATGAGACTTGATCGTCTCTATTTCATACTGTAATGATAACAATTATTTCTATTCTAGATCTGAGAGTGTGATTCAGTATAAAAACGAATTAAAATGAGTATAACCCATTGTATATTTGACTTAGACGGTTTATTACTTGATACTGAGTCTATTTATACCGAATGCTTACAAAAAATGTTGACACCTTATGGAAAAAATTTCACAACAGATATGAAAGTGAAAATGATGGGCAAATCGACACTGGAAGCAGGTCAACTATTAATTCGTGAATTAGAATTACCAATGACTGATGATGAGTTTCTTGTTAAATCAAATGAATTGTACATAGAAGCATTTCCAGATGCACAATTAATGCAGGGTGTTCAACGTTTAATCGAATATTTGGCGAAAAACAACATTCCAATTGGTAAGTGTGTTTATTTAAATAAGTGAAATGATTTTTATTCCGTTTAGCCATCGCCACCGGCTCTGATGAGCATTTATTCGAATTAAAAACTCGTAATCATCGTGAATTATTTAAATTATTTGATCCGATTATTTGTACGAATGCTACGGAAGTAAGAAAAACAAAGCCTGAACCGGATATATTTTTAGAAGCAGCTAGAAAATTTAAACAACCTCCGTTATCAATGAGTCAATGTCTGGTATTTGAAGATGCTGAAAATGGTGTGCAAGCTGCACTAGCAGCGGAAATGAAAGTCGTCCTTGTGCCAAGTTTACCATTAGCAGCTTACAGTAGTAATCTGGTGAAACAAGCAACTGTTGTACTTGATAAATTAACAAATTTTGATCCAGAGATGTTCGGATTACCACCGATGCCACCGTCAAGTGCTTCGTGATATCTTGTAGTGATTAATGCAAATAATAAAAACTAGATACTAAATTGATTCTTAATAATTTGATGTTTTTTTTAAACAATATTTATCGATTCGTTTTTACTTAAGGCGGTAACCCCACTCTGAAAATATTTTGATCATATTACGACTCTTACTGGTGAAATTTTCAGAAAATGATACTCATTACAAAATATGACTATGGTGTAAAATCTCGTCTATATATCCCTAACTTTTGCTGAGATTCTGACAAATACGCAAGCAAAATAGACTGTTTTTCTGGCGGAGATTCCACAACTTGGACTATGACGTGGAGATCACGAAAGTGCTTTAACAATTAGTAAACACATCTCGGCTCTGTGCCATGATAGAGCCGCTTTTCCACATTTCTTCACTTTCAAAAACTCTTTCAGATTTGTGAGGATCTTGCTCTTTACCGCAAAAGAAAGTCTAGAATCAAGAAGCGAACTATATGACGCCCTACATAAGGATTTCTTATCTATGTGTCAGCTACATTTTTATTGCGATGGATGTTTTTAAACTGTCATTTTCTCAGGGCTTGTCTGTTAGAACTCGTCCAAAACGTTGGCTGTGATAAAAAGCCGCATAAATTTTGAGAGTAGATAGTTTTTGTGTTTCTGATGGGAGTGGTCCGCCTTAATATTTTCAAAAGGGAATTTTGATGTTTTTTATCTGTTTTAACTTTTAGCTTTGTTGTCAGTGTTTCCCGGTGTTGTGTTGTTTTACTTGTCAGATAGTATTTATTTGTCTCTCTCGTTCGTACAAAGTTTTATGATAGTGAATAAAAATAGTTCGACTTCTTTTGGATATTAGAAGCGCGGTTTTGATTAGGCGAGGAAATTTCCTTCCTCGTTTGAAATGAATTACTCACTTGAGAAAAAAAATTTGTTCACTCCGGAAAGTTGATGACGTTTTTTTTTGGTTATCAACTAAGTTTTTATGAGTAAAAAGGATGAAAAATGAGAAAAAAGATACTCAGAACTTTTTTGGAAATTTCTCAGTAAGACTTTCCCCCTCCACCTGGCCAAAGTTATATCAAAAAACGCTGATTAGAATGACGTTAAAAATAGGCGACTTCATCGGAGAGTTTGATACCATTTCATACCACGTGTGGACTTATGCTGTTTAATATTTTGTGGTTATCCTGCTTCTATAAAAATTTGGTCCCAATATGAATTTTTAGTGAATAATAGCTTGTTCTTTGTCAGTTAACAACCTATAATCTTTTTTCCATTTAATTTTTTTAGCGCAGTGCATACACAAACTTGCTTCCTTTCACAATTTTTGTCCGTACTTACACTTTTTCCTTCATTTTTTAATCAAAAATCGCTTTCTTTATTTTGAACTTCAGACAGATACGCTGCTGCGAAATATAATTCTTCACAGGGCAATAACTACTTATTGTCCTTGGCATTTTTTTCCAGGAGTTGCCTTGCTGGCGGCCCTCGAACGACTCTCGCTCACGTTTGAATTCCAGTTTAATTCATAGGTACGTACACATTGACTGACGACAATAAACCATTCTGACTGATTTTTTTATTTTCCAACGTTTTTAGTAAAAACAAGTAAAAAAGGGAGCTACAGATGAAAACAAAATGAATGTTGACATAAGGGCAGCTGTTTTTTGACAACTCGAAAAAAATAAATTTTGTATGTGAAATGTCGCATGTAGAAATTAATGGCCGTCACATTTTCTACCGAGAAATATGAATATTCAAACAATAGTCAATCGGAATTTTAATCATTGAAGTTGTCGAATTTGCTAATTCTAAGTTAAGATTCGTTATTGATCAAAATATAATCATTATAACCAGAATGAGTAAAAAAAATAACAGAAAAATAAAAACTCTCTGATTTCATTATATCTCGCCTTAGGTTGTACTGAATAAATATGTTTTAAAATCGGTTTCTATTTGCACAAACGCTCAAGTCTTGGAAACGTTTTGCTATTAAATTCAGTACAAATATTCATGTATAACGTATACATATATGTAAATAGGCGAACAAATTGATCTGACGGAGAGCATGAACGTTCTCTTTTTATTTTTGTTTTTGAACAACAGGTTTCCGGAACAATTAAAAATATTCCTGAACAAAAACTTTTGTAACTGTCTTTGAAAAAAAGCAGAAAAATTTCATATATGCAATATATTAAGTAATAATGACAACAAACATTTTTTTGCATCATTATTGGCATTGTTATTTATACCAGAGAATCATATTCAATTTATTTTTGATGATTTTCAGCTTAGTGTTCCACAGCTTGTCCATGTAACTCCTATCGCAGAGATGTCACAGCGTTACTGTTTTTGCTCATTTTGTTTTGACTATAACTCCGAAACTAAAAGTCCTAGAGAGTTTGGAGACGTTTCAAATTAAAGAAAAAGCTGTGTTCTACATTCCGTTTTCTACAAGCCGTCCACAAATTCTTAATACAAAAAGAAGAAACAAATGTTACAATGAGATATTTTTACGAGAAACGCAAGGTTTCTCCTTAACAAAGTTAATGCGGTATAGTCGTGACGAATTTGAAGATGAAATAATTCATGATAAATTCCACTATTTACGTGCATGTACAGACTTTAAAGAATATTTTTATGCTGCTAAAACGCTATGTTATAGAATATTGTATAGTTTATCAGATGGTCCTTTAACAGGCAAAGTTTCGGACACTGATGCTTGGATAGAGTTCTATCGTAAAGTGTAAATTTGTCTTTGTCTTGATATCGCATGCAAATATCTGCATGCGAGACATAAGGACACATACAGAAAAGAAATTGGCTGTTTTTATAGAATGATAAAAACAATAACCATGTATATCACATACATGTATGTTATAGAATATTGTATAGTTTATCAGATGGTCTTTTAACAGGTAAAGTGCTAATATGTATATTAGCATTTTGTATTATACGGTAATTGTTCTCCTTCAAGAATGCACAATTTTAAATTGTTCTCAATCAAGAAGGGAAGCGTAGCGACTATTGACTTATAAGCCAAGAGTTCTGCAAAAAATGAGACTATTGTGATGAATTTAATTTAATAAACACTGATGGTTCTTATTAATTCTAAATAAAAACCTATGTGCCGCCGAGAATTACTTGTGTTAGCGTCAGAACACATTAGTTGGTGGGGTGTCGGATAAGTCATGCAATTGCCATACCTCAGTTAAGGGGACTTTCACTCAGTTTTTTCAATTAGTTTGTAAAAAACACTTGGAAGTACATACTGCAACATTTTTTCGGTTATCAAACTTGTACTTTCTCAGAAAAGTTCGAGTTTTTCGAGATTTTTTATTTTTAATCTTTATTTTTCAAAATGAAGGTTTAATTCTGGTGTTATTCAATAGAAGGCATAAAACTATGTATACAAAAAAAGTTTCATAGTTCGCGGATGAAGATTCAAGAAAAAATTTAAGTTTTACATTTCCAATAGAGTTTTGATGCTAAAAGTATTTTGAAACATGCCTTAAATCCAGGTATCCCAGATCTAAAAGACGGAAATGAGAAAAAAAAACTTCAAAATCAGACAAAAATCAGAAAAACAAGTTGGAAATCAGAAAAAAAATCAGAACGTTGTTTGTTCTCATACCCAAACGGTTAGTTGTACATAAAAAATTTTAGAACAAAAAATTATAGATCAAATTTTCGTTCAATATCAAACAAAGATTCTAAAATAAGAAAAAATTCCAAAAATAAGAAAATAAGAAACGAGGCAGAAAAAAGTTTCAAAATAAGACTTTTTCTGCTAAAATCAGACGATCTGGGATCCCTGCTTGAATCAAGTTTCGCTCGAGCGTAGCATTCGAAAGCAAAATTGTGAATATAAAGTTGCTAGAAAGACCCAATGGAGAATATCCCTTTGCCAAAAACGCAAATCAATAAAATTTTAAGCACTTGTACGTGAATCACTCGCATTTCAATAATCCTAAGGATTTAAAGATTTTAGAAATCTAACGGTTCTGTGACTCTTACGATTCAAAGGATTCGAAGGATACTCAGGATTTTTTATCTGATCTAAAAGATAAGAATTAGTTGTAATACTATACTTAGAATTTTGTTCGTTTCTAGAATCTTTTACATGTTGCATTTGCCGCAAAGCGAATTTAAACGAGAAATTTTGACTTTGCAGCAAAGGCTTATTTTCCAAGTTATGCTTCACCAGGGAATCCTCTAAAATACGAATGAAGGATTTCGTGAAATTTATAAAAGGCGAGTTTTAAAATTTCATAAATTCCTGTCCAATGACACCAGAACTAAGTTAAATACTCAACAAGTACATGTCCGGGAGCCGAAAAAATTTTTGAGACATACTTCAAAGCAGTAGCGTAGGCAGGAATTTTTTAAGGTAGGGACCCAACGTTTTTTTAGAAAGGATTAGAGTAAAAAGAAGACTAAACAAACACATATGCTGATAGTTTATTCTATTCTGCAGTGCAAGTTAACTTTCTCAGGGGGGGGGCTGTGGCCCCTAGGCCCCTCCCTTGGCTACGCCACTGCTTCAAAGTGTTCTCTACAAACTAGTGGAAAAAATCGTTTGTCGGATCATTAAAACTAATAACACGTATTAGGTAATAATTAAGATGATATGTCAGAAAAATACGTGTAACTGAGAGATAAACGATAGCCCAAATAAATTTGAAGTCTATCTATTGAATTGTAATGCGATAACGTCCTATGACTTATGGAACCATTGTTAACACTAGTTTAAATAATACTAAACATGAATCGAGTTCCATCGTTAGAACAGTTCGAGTTGTTATAGACTATCAGTCGACACTTGTCACATATGCGAACGCAATTGATGATACACAATAGGTTAGAAGTCTATGTAGTTCTGATCCACGTTATACCCGCGAGAATTGAGATATTGACCGTTATAATTCCAAACATCTTCAATGTTTGTGTAGATCTTATTATGAATACAGATTATCTAGCGTTTATCTACATCGTATGTTTTTCAACAAAATTTAACAAATTCATCTA